CACAATTCCAAAAGCACAACCAGTGTTGCCTGGGCAGGGCTGAGGTGCAGGAGGAGAAGTCTGGAAGAGTTTGGTGCTATGGTAACTGCTGGTGAGAGGGAACAAGGCTGTTCCCACTGAATCACTGGCATGTGTCTGGGTTTATTTTTGTCAGGCTGCTCTCTTTGGAACTGATCTCCTGATGCAGCATTTTTGAAGCTTATATGAAGTGTGGGGGGCAGTTCCAAGCATCCAGTGTTCACTGCTGAGAAGGTGGGTTTAGGAGGTCACTTTTGCCTGGCTTTAGTCAAGGTGTGTATCTTTATATGCATCCATCCCTGCCTGTGATGGATAATGGATATAAATGTGTGATTACCCCAATCCCCCCAAAAAAGACATCCCTGTGCATCCTGTTCTGCAAGAGACCCTTTGAATCCCTCAAAAAGGGGGTTCCACACCTGAAACCTCCCAAACCAGGGGTGATAGAGCAGGGACAGACTATTGAGATTGATGTTGAATGATATTGAATATCATAATTGATTAATTTAAAAAAAAAAAACACCAAACAAACCAGGCAGTAATTTGCTCTTGATGATGCCCACAAATACTGTTTAACTAGTTTGGAATTGTTGCATACACAAAACTGGTTTGGAGCATTTGGAGTCGAGCAAGTGAGAAGCTGTTCTGCTCCAAGGAGTTCAGAAAGCAGCTGGTGCTTTTGGGAGTGGGGGAGTTGAAGATGAGTTGGTTTTTTTTCTCCTCCCAGTTTTCAAGAGAACAGAGTGATTTTTTTTTTTTTTTTAGTCTGAGGCTTTGTAGATCTCAAAGATCCGTTTCATCCATTACTTCTGATACATAAATTGATAGGTGGGAAAAGCAAAATAGCACCTTCTAAAATAATAACCAGCAGCCAAGTCTGTGACAATTTGTGGATATAAACTGTGGAGTTGAAACCCAGCACAGTGAGAGTCTTTATTTTAGGTTCCCTGCAAATTCTCTGTACAGTTCTACAGCCCTTATGTTCTTATTTTAAAGTTCATCTTGAGCTTTAAATGGGAGCATAAGTTGAAAAGCAAAAAAAATTGTGAACCAGGAAGGCTTGTGGTCGTGTTCTTGTTTTTTTTTTAGTGACACACTTCCATGGTGTTGTGTATCTAGGTTAAAGTGTAACCTTAAATTTAGAATTTGTGGAGTTGTAGTACTTGCTTTTTATAAAACTACAAGGTTCCAGCTCTACTTTAAAGCTGTGTTGTCTCAAAATGGAAAGATACTATTTATGAGTTTTGCCCTTGGTGATGTGTGTGGGATTTCCTGCTGTACACACAAAAGAGGGAGGACGAATCTGCATAGAAAATAATGAAGTTAAGCAGGATAAGCTGAAAGTGAGGTGGGAGGTGACCTATTTTATCCAAGTTTGACAATTGGGTTATTTCCTCTAATTTCTAATACTTTCCTTGGCGTTGCCACCCAGGGACGGGGGCAGAAGGGCAGTGCCAGGACCTAGCACTCTGGTGGTGTTGCCTTCATGTTGTGTTCAGGCTTTGAATCACAGCTCCCTTGAGGCTTGAACAGTTGGAAGAGGTGACACTTTCCACTGTCACTGCTCTCTGAAGCAACGTAGAACCTGAATTCAGTTCTGGCTGTGGATGGGATCTGACTGCTCCCACGTGTCATTGGGGAAAAAAACCATGGCAAAACTCAACTCACCAGGTGGAAGGGAAAACAGTGTGGCAGCAGAGGGTTCCAGACTCAGTAGGAATAAGAACTCTCTCTTATCTGCCAGGAATGGGGGTTCCATGTTGTGCCTGGAAGGCCAGAGCCAAATCCCCAAAATCGAGTTTATTATAGGTGTGTGTCGTGTGACTGTGCGAGCCTGAATTTTTAGATGCCGTAAATGACTGCTGTGGAGAGACTCTCATGAGTCAGGGAGCTCATGAGGAAGGAGGTAACTTCTGACTCCTGCTCTGAGCAGTGCAAAAAAACGCTGACAAGAAATGAGTGTTTAGAAGTTGCTCCCCTGCACTGAACGTGATCGCTCGTGTTTGGTGTCCCCTGAGGGGTGCTCTAAAAGCCCCCCAGACCCTACCACTTCAGTGTTCATCCAAAAAAACCACCACCCAGCAACAAAAAAAATCCAGAAAACAAACCTTATAGATTGAAGAAGCTTGTTTAAGAATAGTTATTAAAATTGGAAAGGTTAAATGCTGTGAGACTGTTTAAGATGTATTGGAGGATCAGAGGAAAGTGTGTGAACTGTTGGAGAGACTCAAAATGAGCTGACAGGGGACAGAATTAGACATGGAGGTGAGGGGTGAGAGGTGATAGGGATACACACTCCAAAAGCTGACATTTTATTTGATGAGAAAAATGGAAAGAACAAACTTCTAAGCTTGAAAAAACCAATAAAGTTGACCAGGATGAGTTGAGGGACATCTGGCTGGAGGTCTAAAATGTTAAAGGAGTACTTTTCCCTCCCAGAACAATCAGGGATGGGGGAAGCAAGAGGAGAGTCTTGTCAGAAGAAGAGGCAATGAGGAGAGCTTTTTATGGAGGGTCTGAGGAGGTAGAAGTGTTTAGAGGCTCACAGATGCCAGTCTCTTGCTTTTAAAGGATTATCCTCCTCAAGTAAGAGTTAATACAGCAATGACAGTGTCATTTGTCAACAAGACACATGCCAGCCTTTGTTTTTGAATGATAATCTGGTTCCTGTTGAAGGATTGATACAACAACAATCTTATTTATTCACAAAGCCCAGGAACAACAAATCATCGGGGTTATCTGCTCTTCATTCAAGGGTTCTAAAGAATGAAATAGCTGAGCTGTTGAGTGTGGAGTGCGATGTTTAAAAAGTCTTGATTGCAGAGATGTGTGTGTATATTTTTTTTTATCCAAGGGATTGAAAGGAATGAGATCACAGAGTACTTGTTCCAAAGTCTCTTCCATCCTTCAGATCAGAGCAGGACCTTCCTCGTTGCTTTTCTTACGAGGTTCAGGAGCTGAATGCCTAATGCCTAAATGCTAAGAGTTCAGGGTTGTGCTGTAGGTCAGGAACCAGCCTTTCCTGGATGATGTCATCTCCTTGACCACCAGGCTGGGTTCAGGTGGTGTGATCAGACAGGACTCGTGGTGGCCGTGTGGGCCTCAGGAAGTTCCGGGTCGATGCCCTGCCAGGAGTTTGCTGCCTGTTCTCTCTCTCCGTTGGTCTGAGGAGGAAGGGTCTGGATCCTCAGGGAGCTGGAGCACTTCAGAAAGTAGAGCACGTGTTTAAAAGAAGGGATTTGACTTATTTTAAGGCGCTGTAGAACTGGGTCTCGGGGATTTGAGATGCAGAAGGTCGCGCTGCCGAGACGTGGAGGGTACAAGAAAGACAAAGTTGGCCCCTCCTCTCATGGGTAACAGGTGATAGGACAAGAGGAAACAGCCAGAAGTTGTGCCAGGGGAGGTTTAGGTTGGATATTAGGAATAATTTCTTCCTGGAAAGGCTTGTCAAGCAGTGGTAGAGGCTGCTTAGGGAAGGGAGGAGTCACCATCCCTGGAGCTGTGGCACTTGGGGACGTGGTTTAGTGGTGGGATTGGCAGTCTTTGGGCCATAGTTGGGCTAGATGATCTTAAAGGTATTTTCTCACCAAATAAAATTCTATTTTGTGCTATTAAAGAGATCACAGGTGAAGATTTGATAACCTTGTAGGTCTCTGAGGATTAACATTTCCGTGTAAACAAGAAAACAAAATGGGTTATTACCATTTCCATGTGGCGGTGACAGTGACTGAGGTAACCTGAAAATATGGAATTGTGTTGGAAACAAACTGAGCAGGGCAGCTGTGGTTCCAGGGGATATTAAAACAATTACAGAGCCATGCAAGAAGAAACAAAATGGGTGTGTGCAGTGAGGAGGAGGAGACTTTGTGAAGGCTGGCTGTGCTTTGCTACCCTGCTTGGATAGGTATAAGGTGGTTATCATGGGGGCAGAATAAACAATCCAAACTTGACAGAGAAAATGCTCTCTGAGCTGCCTCTTGGAGTGCAGGGACAAGTTGTGTCCCAGTTCCATGGAAAAATCATCCCAGTTCTCATCGGCGGTAAAATATAAATGTGATAACGGAGGAGGGGGAGGGATGGAAACCAAAATGGACAGCACTGTTATGGTGGTGTCTGTAATAATCACCGTGGGTTTGTGTGGTGAGCGATGCTGGTGCTTCCCAAGGAGGTCACAGAGCTGGAAGTGCAGCAGGAGGGTTCAGGGGCAGGATGAGCAGCTGAGGAGTCTGTGATGAGTTAACCTCCCTGAGAGGGAGCAGGGTGTGAGTGAGGACTTGAAAATCCTTGAGAAAGTTGACAGGGAAATGCTTTTTCCTCTCTCTCCCAATTCTGAAAATGCAAGTACCAAGCAAAACCAGCTCGGGCAGGAGTCGAATGGGGGGAGCTGCAGGAAGCTGCCTTTTCAAAGAGGTTACAAAGGTTCACAGAGTGGTCAGATTAGGATGAAAATCTAATCTGACAGGGTGTGAAATACAGAAGGAGCACCTTTTGCTTAGGAAATGATGTAGAACACGTGCTGACCAATGAAAGAGTGTTCCTGGAAAGTACAACTGTTTGCTCTGTCCTGGGCATCCACTACCAGCTGTTCCTGGGCACAATCCCTCAGGATGGAGAGGCCTCTGTTCTCACATATCTGCCCTTATGTGTTTATTTTACTCTCATGTAATGTAAAAATAACTGTATAAATAGTTTTTCTGATATATGGGTAAAAACCCCTCACAAATACCAAGCCAGAAATTAAATTGCTGACTGTTTTCCAGTCCTTCTCCTACCAATTAAGAGCTAAAGAGTAGCTGTAGTCAAAAAGCACTGACATTATATCTTGGATTCAGCAAAGGACTTGAGTAATGGAAAATCTTCAGTGATTTTGCCATTCTTAAATAATTTGTGTGTGGGTTGGGTTTATTTTACTGCAGGAAATCTCGTGGCCTTGGCCATTTGGTGCTTGACTGATATTTTGTTTGGTTTTTTTTTTTTTGAAGGTACATGGGAATAGGACTTTCTGCCCAAGGGGTCAACATGAACAGGCTTCCTGGTAAGTCACTGTTCAGGTTTGTTTTGGCTTAACAGGCTGTGTTAAATGTCCATTTGACATAAAGATTTTGATTTATATATGTATGAAGTAGTGAATGTGTGTTTCTGTTAATAAAATGGCAGGACTATAATTGTCTTATGTCTGGAATTTTAAAACTGTTGAGTGTTATCCTAAACTGACTTAGTGATATTGTCAATGCAGCCATGATGATTTTAACAGATCATAGAAATTAATACTAAACTAATAAGTAATGAGTAAGATGAGAAGCTTTCAGACAGGCAGACTCTTCTTTCCATCTGAAAGTAACTAGGAAAACAATTTTGCATTTAATCTGTGTATTCCACTTGACAAATTTACAGGAAAGAATCTGAAAATGACAGGAAAATTATCCCATTGTATTGTCTCTCTTCTTTGCCTCTTCCCAAAGTACAAAAATATGATGGAATGGTATTTCCAGTTAATACTACTACTTCTTTTGTTTGAAATGTGTGTTTTTAGGTTAGCCTCTAAGTTGGTTAAGTAGCTGCTTTTTAAAAAGAAATAATTGGTAATCTTTCTTTAACAATTTATTGTGTAAAATTATAATTTCTAAATGTGTATTGACTGTAGCAGGAATTCTTCCAGCTGTGTTTGAAACTGGAAGTTTGTGTTTGGTAGAAATGTTCTTGGAATGCCAGAAAGAATGACAGCTGGTTCCCAGGGGTGGGAGCTTTTTTATTTTTTTATTTTTTTTTTTTTTTGGCCTTGGGTGTTACTTCTTGTGGAGTTGTTTTAAAGCTGAAATCTCTGTTCGACCCTTGTTCTGCATCTTGGAGATGTTTTGTGAATGTCCTAACAAAAGGCAGGTGTGATGGCTGCCTTGGGGGGAAATGGTTTCAGTGGCACCTGTGCTTGAAAGGATTTGTGTCTTGTTGCAGAGTGTGTCTGTTAATGATTGTTATGACAACTGCAGTGTGCTCACATCAGAGGGGGAATTAAGGTCACGGGGCATTGTCCACTGGGAACTAGACCAGGGAAGGGGGAGAGCAGGACACTGCCAGTTGTCTGCAGTGATAGCTGGTTGCAAAAAGGTAGGAAATGTCAGATTTAGAAGTCTCTTTTCAGTCCTGCTCTCTCTGCACCTCTTTTCCTCCCATCCATCTGCTGCAAGTGGGTTGTGTGCCGTGCCCAACACAGAGCATGAGTCAAGTCCCATCACCTCTTCCCTTGTAGGGGGTTGGCTGCTTGGAAAAGGGGTGCTTTGGCCATTAAGGGACCGTGCTGTGGTCCAGGAAATGGCTCTCTGGTGTGTGTAATGGAAAGATGGGTGGGATTGCCTTGCAGACTTGGCCTGCAGATGGTTGGATTGTGCTTAACCTGGGCCTGTCCTGGGGTTGTAACATTTACATGTACAACACGGTTGAACACTAACCTGAGATGGTGGGTACTGAGTGTCTGTGGTGTGCTGGCCTGAAATTCAACAGCCAATGCCATTGCTTCTTCTGTTTTTCTTTTAAAAATAGCCAAACTGTTCTGATAAATGGCTTTAAAGCCACGGGCAGTGTTCTGTGACCAGTTTGAGTCAAAGGGCCTGTGCACTGCTATTATTTCTAGAGTGCATGTGGCGAACATGGAATCCTTTTCTCTCAGTGAAATAAAGCATGAAGTGAACTTGAAACTTGAGATAGTGCTTGTTTAGCAATGAATTGTACAAATGTGATCCCATGAACCTGTTGTTTGTTTGATCACATGCAGATTGTGCTGCCAAGAGTCAGAGTTAGGTCGATCTCCCCTCAGCTGTGTAAGATTGAGTGCCTGGCTCTGCATTACAGCTCAGTAATTATCTTCCTGGCTTTTGGAGAATGAGTCTGATTTTTTTTTAATTATTTTTTTTAATATATTGTTCAAGTAACTGAAGTGAGAAACACATTTCCAAGCTTAACTGTTATCAGGTCCTTCACAGAACAGAGTGAGTGAGAACTCACAAAGAAGTGACAGACTTTGGAGTCTTGACTTGGCTTCGTGTCAGAGTTGTAATTTTAACTTTTTGTGACCTGAAACCCTGCCAGGTTTGTCTCCTTAGACCCTTTCTAAGTCACTTCTGCTGTAACAGATTGATTTTCACTCAGCGTGCTGCCAGGGCAGTGTGGAACCACTACAAGCAGTGGCTTGGGAGCCCAAAGCCTGGTACAGGAGCCAAAGTTTGTCCCTCTCTTGTTCCCACTTTCAGTGGCACCCTGGCAGTCCTAATTCAAAGAATAATCTTGCTGCTGGGTTCTGTCTCAAACTCCTTTTGCCCCCCCCGAGGACAAACACTTTGGCCGTATCCAGTTCCAAGTCAGGTCATTTGTGCTTTGTGCCAAATTTATTTTGGCTTCAGCCCAGCTGGGTGCTGGTGGGGGTAGTGCTGAGTTTTCTCTGAAGGTTACAAGTGTGACTGGAGCAGGCTGAGCATTCCCTTAAACTGTCCCTCTCTGTTTTGGGAATAGAGAGTGCTTTGAGCTGGGGAGTTCCCTGGCCATGTTTGACTCCAGGGTTCTGCAGGCTGTGCTTTGAAATTCGACCAGCAGCTCTGACATGATTGGGGCATTTTTATTGAAGTGCTGACTTTTCTGAGCCTGACATATCTTGATGATTTTTAAGGAAGACAACACTTACTAATAAACATTCTGCCTTACACTAGTGGCTTTTATTGAAATGTCTGCTCATTTCTTTCCCCAGATACAACTTTTTTTTGCAGGTACTCAGCATTTTGGTGTTTGAGGATGAAGTTACATGTTGCAGCTGAACTGATCTAACTCAGGGTCATCAAAGGAGAGAAACCTGACCCTTCCCTCCCCCCTACCCCATCTGCACAGTCCCTTCTTCCCTTGGGCCCTGGCATTTGTCCCCTCCTTGGCCAGAGGGAGCTTTCAGGCCACACAGGAGCCTGCCTGCTTTTCTGCTGGCTTGGGGTTGTTGTGATGGGGTGGTTCCTTTACCTTTGCATCCCACATTCTAACATCTCAATGTCCTTTTTTTAAAGATTGTTATTATTTTTGCTATTTAGCCCTCAATCCAGTAAGTTTTTCTGAGCCCAGCTGAAAATGTGTTGGTGTTTTGGTGCAGGTTTCACTCAACCTTCCTAAACCAGAGAAGATGAGTGTCCTGTCTTTAATGTGGATGAGATGTGCACGCTGGAGATGATTCTCCCCGGCCTGTGATGTTGTTCTGTGTTGGGTTCAAGCCCTTCATGCTGTTGAGAAATAACATTTAATTTGTTCAAGCTCTTCGAGGGGAGCCCAGCAGGAACACACAGCCAGGCAGAAAGGGAAGGTGGGATGATTTTTTCTTGTCTTAATTCAAGCAAGGTCTTAATTCAACCTAAGATGTTGTGAAACCACACCCTTAGGCATACCCTGCTTCAGTTTCTCAAACAGCATAGATAGGATCTGCCCAATCACTTTGGGAGACTTTAAACACCCTCTGGTTAATAACTGACTTGCCCTGCTGGGCAGCATTGCACATGCTGAAGGGAGTGCCAGCTTTCACTCACCACTCTTTGGTTTTCAGAAAACCTTGGTGGTTGTTTCGGCTTACTTTTCAAACAAAAAAGATACTGTGTGGCCTTATCACCCTCTACCTGCTTCAAACTCTGGGCTAAAAGAACGAGCTTTGGAACTCCCAAGTTGGAAGGGACCCACAAGGATCACTGAGTCCAATTCCTGGCCCTGCACAAATAAAATTCTCATGGGAAGATATTATTCCTCATCAGAGTTGGGGATAGGTTTCTGCAGAGCCTCTCTCCTCAGATTTTCAAACTTCAGGTGGGCAAGGCTCTTGGCAACCTGGTCTGGCTAAACACCTCCAGATGTTCTTTCTAGCCCGTTTTGCTTTGTTTTTTGTGGTTTTTGTGTTCTCTTTTCTTTCCTGTGATTGCCAGGGAATCTCTATTTCAAATACATTTAAAGAAGTTTTCAGCTTATGCTTTGGGTTGTCCCTTCCTGGTGTTTGGGTTGTCATTTCCACTGACAAATGAAGGACCTGTGCTAAAGGGCTTAGTCCCAGTGGTAAATGTAATAATTACAGAAGATGAGACCTCACCAAATCATCTGATCTGAAGTGAATTCAATTATGCATCAGTCCTGCCTGACAGGTGTGTGTCTAAACCAGTCTTTCATTATTCTTCTGGCTACTTCTTCCAACACCGTCCTTGTATTGGAAACTTTTCCTGGTGACTAAGCTGAATATCCCATGTGGTCTAAGGCCTTTACTCCTGGATCACGGGGAGGTGGAGAATAATTAATTTCTTTCCTCTTTGTAGCTGTACACATGGAAACCTCTGTCACTGCTTTGTGCTCTTCTCTCCAGATCAAACATCCCTGGCTCTTCACCCTGTCCCTGGTTGTCATGTTTTCTTGATTTGTGGCAAGTTTTGTAGAGCTTTTGCGAACATTTAACCCCTGGATGCATCACAAGCACCAATATCTTACTGCTTATAGTAAAAGAAAAATTAAAATGCAGAGCAAGTCCAGGAAAGTGACTCTTATCCCATCCTGCAGACAAGGGCAAAGGAAAATCCTTGCCAAGCTTTCACAATTCCGAAGGTTTAAGCAGGAAAGGGAGGAGGGGAAGAAGCTATAGACACCTCCAATTTGCCTCCCCCTTGCCCCCAGTTTTGTTTTTAGTGTTGCTGTGGTTCTTCATGGAGAACTTGAGACCACTGAGGTTTCTCGTTAAACCCCTCAAAATTGTTCAAGAATGACTGAAGGAAGCCTTGTGATTTCTTAGAAGGAGTCTGAGTACTTGCTCTTACTGTTTTACTTGTATATTTGATTCATCATTGAAAACCTTTCCTGGCAGTTTGGATCTGTTAACGTTACTTCTGCTAGACTGGTAATGGCAACACCATCTGTAATCCATCTCTGCTTGCCACTCCATGTTTAAACCTTTCCTCTGCTGGCCAGGAGGAGATTTGACTTGTCAGGAATTGAATTTTATTTTATTTTATTTGTGCAGTGAGTATAACCCAGATTGAATAG